ATCGATTCTAAAAGCTGGTAGGGCCAATACCAATTATTAAGCAGATATTTAAATTTATACTGCTTTATTTTTTTATAATCGTTTTTTTTTTTTTTGTTTTTTTGTTTTATATCACATACATATATACATTCTCAAAAGCGCCATTGAAAATATTCTTCCCGAGTCGAGTTCCAATTTTCGTGCTACATTAGTTTGCGGAAACTGTCTTCTGGCAGATGAAGCCATTTTGTGCACCACAATCCTGGTTGGCCCACAAAATATCAATGGTATTAGTTTGCAATAACAGACAATCACCAGAGGTCACTGGTTCACTGGCAGCCCAATTGGTGAAGGCGAAACTGTTGCCGCCGAGACCCCAGAGCCATGTTGTCTCGTTGGCCAAGCGGTTGCCAGCAGTCCAGTAATTATTTTGAGTTAAACCTAAAAGAACATAAAACACACAATAAATACTAATGAAAATGGAAGATGTTACTCAAACSAACCGAAAAGTTCAATGAAGCCTTTTAACAGAAGATCAGACGTGAAGCTGCTGGGTGCTACCAATGACCAACCGTTTGARTAGCAGAAGTAGTTGGCAGCGAACCAAGAGACCTTTTGATCGAACAGTKKTTRCAGAGTTGTCATCAATAACAGTTATTAACAAATATATAGTAAATTAATGCACTTACGGGATTGTGGCTAACATAGTAGTCGCCGTTCTGTTGCAAATTGCCGCGCCAATCATCTTCTTTGACTCCTATCGCCTCAGGGTAAGGTGAGGCGAAGCTCACTCCGATCAAAGCGGCGAGTAAAAGTCCGAAGTATTTCATTGTTGAATACTTTGTTAACGAAATTTGATTGATAACTGATTTGCAAACGAAAATATTTCACTTTTATAGCAAAGTGTTTAGCTCCGGTTTTTTGTTCGTTCGGAGTGTTTACTTTTTATGAGAATTATGATGGATAGTTACTGATAGTAAACAAATCGGTGAATAAATGAATTCCTTATGGATATATGTACATACATATGTATATAAATAATTGCGAGCGTAACGGTTTATTTGCAAACACTCCCTCTCACTGGTTTGTGGCATGTGATTAATTACGCATTCGTTAATTGGTTGGAGTTGAGTTGCTGATGGAAATGGAAAAACCAAGGTTTCCTTTATTT